TGGATTTGTATAAAGTAAAGATGGTAGTAACAGTGAAAACATAGAGCTGTTTACAGTGGTGGCTATGTCACTGGCAAAGCCCATTAACAATTCCTGGGAAATAAAAACAGAATCTGGCTAATAAAGTCTAACCTTTGTTTTTTTCCTTTGTGCTTAGTCTAATTTCACTTGCTCATAGGGTGCCGTGTGCAGAGGCCTTGCACCAGGCCCTTCAGACCAGAGTTCCTACGGCAAAACGGCTGCACCTGACACTTCAGCACAGGTGGGCCGTGTGCAGAGATGCTGCACCCAGGACTGCAATCTGGAGCCGTGAGCAGCACAGCTGTGCCCGACCCACAAGAGCTCTGCCACCCTCCCTGCTGACAGACTGTAAAGCAGCCCCACTGTGGGCCTGTTGGGGAGAGGGGGTACTCTGGAGCCAGAGCTCGCACCTCTCCATTCTTTGATCAAAGAATAAGGCCTTTCCTCTGCTTCTGAACCAAACTTGGTCTCCTCGTATCAGCTGGAACAACACTGGCAGGAGGACCCTTGCTGGGCATCTACACAAAACGGTGGGTAAGAAATTTTGGCAACCCAGATGAGGCAGACTGTGGCCTTTTCACCTGCACCTGCCCACTAAGGCTCCAGGCTCGCTCTGGCTCTAGTGGGAGGTTGGCAGAAACATTGGGAGGTTCCAGTGAGGATGACTGACTCTGGTCTTTGAGTTCACTGTGATGGGGTAGCTGCTGTCTTCAGCTGAATTCAGAGCAACTCTGCCCAGCAACCTGAACCTGGCGTGGTGCGCACACACTGTAGCGCCCAGAGTAATCTGGACTGGGCCCCCTTGAGGGGGTCATAATGTGCCTCCGTTGGGAATCTGAGGCTGAAACTCAAGCGTGTCTGCTTGCCGCCACTGGCTGGCCTTCTTGTGGTGCTGGACACCCAGGGACAGTGGGGACCTGTGGACAGGAGGGAGCCACTGCAGCCTTGTCCGCTGTCCTCTTGACCCCTGTCCGAGGCAGCAGCAGTCGCATCAGGACTTTCTGCCCTCCTCGCCCACCTCCAGGGGTCAACGATAGCAGTCTTCATTGTCACCTTCAGTTTGATAAGGGAAAGCAGCCAGCCTCATGAGCCAAGAGGCGAGCTCGGGAAAAGGATCCCTAACTAGGGCCTAACAACTAGGCTTCTGTACAAAAAGGTGAAAAGAAAGTGTAACCGAGCAGGACCCTTTGGGGCTTTCCTGGGACAAACCCCAGCCCCCGCCATATCCTCCATCTGCCTCTTGTTTGTAGAAAAACTTTAGTCTCCTAGGCTTCCCTGAGTTCCACAGAGTACATTTAATCAGGAAATTGAGAAAATGCAAAACGAAAACAGTCAAGGAAGACAAAATAACAATAGTTTAGGCATTAAACAAAGCCGAGGACCTTTACTTCCTCCTCAAGGGCTATAGATAATATTCTGAGCTATATCCTTTGGGCTGTTTTGCACATACTAAAACCCACACCAGATGAAAGAAGTCAACTGTATGCTGCCCACAAGCACATAGACCCCAGACCGGTTGGAACCAGAAAGCTGATGTTGTTGACTCCAGATGACCTCACCACCAACCAATCAGAAGAATGTCCACAAGCTGAGCACACAGCCCACAAGCCCCCTCCCTCACCTGATCTTTAAAAACCTTTCCCTGAGAGCCTTCGGGGAGTTTGGGCCTCTTAAGCACTAGCTGCCCTGAACGCCTTGCTTGGCGTCCTGCAGTGAACACCGCACTTGCCTTCACCACAACCCGGTGTCAGTAGATTGGATTTACCATGTGTGGGCAAACAGTGGGCCAGGTTTGGTTCAGTAACAAAATGTTGATGATCCTTTTGAAAGGAATGGAAAATGTGAAAGGGCCTTTCAAGAACTGAAAAAGGAATTGCTTCAGGCCCCTGCCCTGGCCCTCCCAGATGTAGCTTAACCCTTTGACCTTTCCATTCCGGAGAGAAGAGGAACTGCTCTTGGGGTATTAGCGCTAAACTGGGACCCCTTACTCAGGTGGTTGCTTATTTCTCTAAACAATTAGATTAACCACTAAGAGATGGCCTGCCTCCTTGCCTGCGGACAGTAGCAACTACAGCCCTGCTAAAGGAGGCTGAAATGTTAGCGTTTAGCCAGCCAATCACTACATGGACTGCACACCAGGTTTAGGCTTTAGTAAGTTCTAAGGAAACAGAATGGCTATGCCCCAGAAGGTCGATTCAAGTTCAGGCTATGCTTTTAGGCAACCCAGCTGCTACCACGAAAACCTGTCACGTGGTAAATCCTGCCACCCTGCTACCCACAGAAAGGAGGCACCTGGAGCACAACTGTATACAATCTATACCAGTTGCCCTGATCTAGGAAGCGAGCCTCTCAGAAGAGGAATGGTTCACAGACGGGAGCAGTTTTATAAAAGAGGGAAAAAGTCTGGCGGGAAAATATGCAGTAACCTCTCAGATCCAAGTCATAGAAGCAAGAAGTCTACCCCCTGGGACTTCTGCCCCAAAGGCCAAGCTACTAGCCCTCACCTGACCCTTTAAGCTCAGGACAGGGAAGATCTTAAATGCTTACACAGATTCCCAGTATGTGTATGCCAGCCTACATGCACACAGGGCTGTTTGGAAGGAAAGAGGTACGCTTACTGCAGAGAATAAACAGGTGAAACATGGCTTAGGCATACTGAAGTTCTTAGAAGCAGTACAACTACCAAAAAAAATTACCAAACAAAAAACCCATGGCAGTGACTCACTGTACGGGCCACCAAAAGGGAGATGCAGAATTAATAAAGGGAAACAAGAGGACACAACTACCAAAAGGGTGGCCGTAAAACCAGTAACTTGGCAAGTACCCCTCATGCCTTGAAGGCCAGATCCATCCAATTATTCCCCAGCCTACACAAAGAATTGAACAAAGCCTGAAAATGGGGCCTCAATAGAGATCGAGGAGGCCATGGGCAGCTAGTTAATGAACACGGGCAATACTTCTTTCCCCAAACTGCACCTTGTCCAGCCATCAGGGAGGCTCGTCAAGGAACCCACTTCGGGAAGGAAGCCCTATATAACTGGTTAGTTGAGGTCATGGTAACTCCTGGCATGAAATGTATAATCAGTCAGATAGTTGAGACCTGCCCCATTGGCATAATTAATAACCCCAACACCAGCCCCTCCCCCACCTGGCTCCCCGAGGCCCCCAGGTAAGGCCCATTCAGACCAGAGGGACATATCCTGGAGAAGGTTGGAAGATTGATTTTACTGTCATGCCAAGAGTACTGGGCAATTGCAGGTATCTCTTGATGCTAATAGACATTTTATGGGTACATAGAAGCATCACCAACAGAAATAACCCCTAAATTTGGGCTCCCAGGATCCTTACAAAGCGATAATGGTCCTGCACTTGTATCTCAAGTGATGAAGGGGTAATGAATGCCCTAGGCATAAAATGGACCTTGCATTCAGCCTGGAGACCCCAATCATTGGGGAAAGTAGAAAGATCCAATCAGACCTTAAAATGGGTCTTAGCCAAGCTATGATAGGAAACTTAAGAAAATTGGATTAAGTTTCTTCTGATTGCCCTGCTTTGCTTTTGGTTAGCCCCAAGGGATAAATCAAAGTCTATGTGAACTCCTATATAGTAGACTCATTCCCCAAGCCCAAGAGAAGGGACACCTTGATATGGAACAACTCAAGTATGCCCTCTAGCGGGGAGAGACCATGAAAGCTCACACGGAATATGGTGACCAGGAGCTGCCTGCACCCATGCACCTGGCCCTGCACCCTTTCCGGCCAGGGGACTGGGTGAACCTAAAAACCTGGAACGCAGGCAGTCTGCAAAGTCAGCTCACTCCTAAGGGGAATGCACCCCACCTGGGATCCTAACCACCCTCTCTGCCCTGAAGTTGCAAGGGTCACTCGAGGCACATCACACTCGAGTGAAGAGGGTCCTCGAGCCCCCGCCTCCATAGTGAAAACATTGAGGTGGGGAGGGCATAGCTCAAGTGGTAGAGCACATACTTAGCATGTAAGA